TAGCGGGTTGATAGCCACGTGGAAAAATTACAAGTCCCCCACTTAATCAGGGAGGTGGCTGAAGACACCAACGAAATACAGGGGGCAAATAAAATAAATGGGGGAGAGAGTGGGGGTCACGGGTTAAGAACATAAGAAGTGCCACTTTGTGGGTCAGACTACAGGGCTGCCTGGCCCAGTGTCCTGTGTCACGAGGGCAGAGGGTAGATGCTGAAAGGGAGAGTGAGCTAGGAATGACCAGGGCTTTTTTCCACTCTTCCTCTCCCCACTTGCAGCCTCCAGCATTTCAGGCCTAGGAAGCTCTAATTCAGAGGCTGTATCCATTGCTTCTATGCTCAGTAGCTTCTGATGCCCCTTTTCTTCCAAAAATGTGTCCAGTCCCTTTCTGGTTCTGGTTAAACACTCAACTTGCACAATATCTGGTGGCAAGGAGTTCCACACTTTCTATTACACGGGGGGGGGGGGGGGGAGAATTGCCTTTTGTTAGTTTTAAACTCACTCCCTCCTAGTTTAATTTTGTGACCCCCCAGTTCTTGTATTGCGAGAGGTAGTAGAATAGTAAATCCCTATTTACTTTCTTTGCCATTTTGTGTTTTCTAAGCCCTTATGTCCCCGCTCAAGCATCACTTTTTTTTTTTTTTCAATTGAATAGGCCTAGCCTCTTTAGTCTGCCGCCTTTAGTTCCTCCATGCCCCTAATCATCGTTGTTGCCCTTCTCTGTGCCTTCTCTAGTTCTTCTGTATTTTTGGGGGGTGAGGACCAGAGCTAGGCACCATATTCAAGGTGGGGTTGCACCATGAATACAAAGGAGCATGTTGATGTTTTCCATTTTGTTGACAAGGGGAGGGGACACCAAGCAGAGCACCCCAGCCAGCACCTGCTGTCCCCTGAACGTATGATATGACCAGGAAATGACATTTCTTATGTGTATAAACTGCCTCTTGTGATCTATTAATGAAAATCCCTCATGTTGGGATTAGCAGCTAGAAGGCCACGATTCCTTCCATTCTCTCACCTTCCAGGCAGCACCTTTCCCTGTCCTCTGTATTGTGTCACTGTTAATTGAGGTTTTTGTTTTAGTTTGCCTCTATACTCACACGGTACAACCAGTGGCTGCTCCTGTAATGCAAGTAATGCTCGTTGTGTAATTCTGTTGCATGATGACCTGTAGAAGAAAGTTCCTATATGGCTGCCTGGATTGGAATGATCAAATTAGGTCGAGCTGTGGAAGAGTAAATGTGGCCACTGCTTTAGAAAACCAAACAAAACTTTCTTGTGCCTGAAGGATTTTTGGTGGTGAGAAAAAGTGACCCAGAACGCTATTTAAAACTCCTGGTGGAAGGAGACGAGCATCATCTTTAAATTTATTCCTAAACATTACTAGGCTAAGCAATTGGATATATGGGTTGAAAGATTGGGGAACTGTTTTCTTAGGTTTTCTTTGTGTATTTGGCATTGTTTTTGCACGTGGCCAAATTTACCCTTTTGTTGATCCACTATGCTGCTTGCATCATATGGGTACACAAGGCCTTTTGTGACGCAGGGTAGAGCTTCATTGAATCTAGTAATCCCCTATATACCGAGGTATCTTGACAGTGGTAGAGTTGAAGCTGAAAATGCAGGAGGCAGCATGCGCATGTATAGGAATGGGAGGGGAGTTCTTGGGCCTGCCTCGGATTCCCTTTAAATATAATCAAAAGGTGAGGGAAAGCTGAAATGTTTTCTTTAAATTAACATAAATTTAAAAAATCTAAGTGTCAGTTAAAATATGCTCCAGCAGCAAAATGTTTTTGAAATGAGCTATTAAACTGTTTGCTATCGTTAAGATTTATGATCATTTTACACTAAGTTCCAGCTGTTAGACCAGGTATTACCATGCCTTGTATTTGAAGGCAACATTAAGGTACAAAAGAAACCCCTCTGAAGAAGAAGTAGGGAAACAAACACCTTTCAGGTTTTATTTGCAGTAAAATATGGCAATACTTGTTACTGTTGCTCCTTATACTTTCTATTTTAGGTTATTCTTAGAAAAATTACTTCCCCAAGATTCTGATGATTGGGAAAACAGCTGTCCAGACTGTTGTATTACTCATTCCAGAAGGAACAAACACTTGAAGCAAAGATTTTCAAAAGAGCTGATACTTGAATTCCTGCAGTGGGATCTACTGGCAAGGCCCCTTATGCCCAATGGGGACCCTTTGAAATCGGTGGAATCCTTTGTGGACTAGAGGACCTTGACGCAGACTTGAGGTGAAGCCCTTTGTTGTCTTTCTGTCTGTTTCTTGTGAACTCGGTCACTTAGCTGGGAAGCCAGGAAGCTTGCGTGTCTGATTTTTTGGGCTCCCCGAGGCTGTGTTCTTTACTGTTAAATTCTATTTTTGTTTTAAATAAGGTCATATACTTTTTGGTTTCAGAATTTTACAAATGACTTTTGGCTTTTTTCGAATAGCGTATTATCTGGAATTTTCTTTAACAGCTACAGTGACATGCTGGACACAGCCTATCACAAAGAGCTTGCAACAGGCAGTGGAGAGTGTGAGTTAAGTGTTTCTGAGAGTTGCTGTTGAAGTCGCTGGGACTTTGGTTGGGGACACCAGTGTAGTCATGCACTCCCTGTGCAGATTGGACCTTAGAAGATTGGATACGTAGAAAAAAAGCTATATTGAGAAATGCAGGAGTTGGGGTGCCTTCATGTCCTTGTTATTAAAGGTATAGTTTATTAGACCTTTCCAAATAGGGTTGGCCAACTTCGAAGAGTTCAGGCGCTTCATGCCTTATGGGCTGCACCAATGTGAGCTGCTGCCCCTGTGCTGCATGCTGCTGGGTTCCCCTCCCTGCAGCACCATGTGTGTGGCCATCCCGGCCTCATCCTCAGCTCCCCCGCTGCACCATGTTGCATGGGTGTCCTGCTCAACCGTCTCCCTTGGCACTGCAGGCTGTACTGCACCACACCACACTACTTCCTTGTGCAGGGACAGGGAGAGGAAACCAGAGGAGGGAGTGGAAGCTGGGAGATCATAGCTACTATTGCAGCTGGAGCAATGCATGCAGCCCATGGGCCACCAGTTGAGCAGCCTTCACTTTAAAACTACTTTTAAGGCCTGTTTTGTTAATACTTTGGCTCTGGAGTGCTCTACCTAATGTTAGGGTTTTTGCAGTCACATTTTCCTACAAGTTAAGTGCTGTTCTTAATTCCCCATTGGTATGATAGTAGATGTCCCAAGGAGGGGTGGAGGTGTGAGAGATGATGGAATTTTAAAGTGTTCTGATGACGACAAATTATTTTTTTTAAAACAAGCACATTTTGAATTTGGGTTTTAAAAAAATAGTCTATGTATTAGGGCTGTGCAAAGCTTCAGTTGCCGATTCGGTGGAGATTCGGCCTGATTCGATTCAATTCGCAGATTCGGCCACCGAATCAGGAGTCCCTTTAATCTCGCCAAATCAAATTGGAACTCTCTGAATTGATTTGGAGAGATTCGGGAAGATTCGATGATTCAGACATAGACACAGCTTAAAATGTTTTTTCTACATACCTCAGGGTCTGAGGTGGCTCATGAATACTGATATGGTGGGATGGATGGAGTATTCCACTGGAGTGCGGGGGGTCCCCAGCATGCTCGGCGGCAGACCTGGAAGTAGACTGGAAGCACTTCCGGTCTACTTCTGGGTCTGCCGGGGAGTGCACTGGTCCCGTGCCCCCCTCCCAGCTTGGCGACTGGTACCTCCTGGGTCAGGGGGCACCTGGGGTCCCCCTGCGGCCCATTGCCTAGCCGGGGTAGCGTGGAAGTACTTTTGGTCCACTTCTGGGTTCATCCCCTGTGCTCCTGTGGGACACTCCATCTGCCCCACCATCTCAGCATTCATGAGCCACGCCTGGTACCTCGAGGTATGTAGAAAAAACATTTAAAGCTGTGTCTATGGCCAAATCACTGATTCACCAAATCAGCATTGAATCTTCAGATTTGGATTCTGCTGAATTGAATCGGGACAGTGATCTGAATCAACGAATCGAATCGCTGCCCCTGATTTGGGCTGAATCTGAATTGAATACGGCCCTTTTTGCACACCCCTAATGCCTGTCTCTTCTCCTTGCTTTCTCAATATTGAAAAGTTTTAACACTTGAAGCCTTACATATTTGGAGAACGAAATCAAATTTTGAGCATTGATTCTTTAAAATAGAAATTAACAACAACTTTTTGAGGATGTGTCAGTTTAAGGAAGTCAGCAGGTGCTATTTGCATCTTCAGAATGTTACATCCTGAATAGTGGTAGAGGTTTGGTCAGGCAGGAACAAGGCTCCAAGAAGTTGACGCAAGTTGCTCAGTATTTGGCATTCTTAAAAATCTGTCAGATTATTTGGGCGTCTTAAATACAGATCTGAAGAGCCTAGCCTTTGGCTCTTGGTTTTTAAAAATTCTTGGTCTGCTGTTAAATTTATTCTCTCAAGTTATACTAATGTGAATCTAAAACAACTTTGCTTTTTGTTAAAATGCCTCCTCAAACCCCAAATAAATGTGTTTGGAAATAATATACTATATTTTATTGGTATTTGAAATCACTTTTACTATTCAGTGAGCAGCTGGCAAGGTAGCTTAAATGTGTAGTGATAGTCAGGTGCTGATTTGTATGGAGAGAGGTCAAACCCTGCTGTTGCCTTTTTTCCCTCTTATGTTTGTATAATTACTAACCAACTCCCTTTTTCCCTAGGCTGTTCACTCTTCCATATTTCACTTCTCTTTCAAGCCTCTCCTCCCTAGAGAGCTGTTGAGCTTACAGTATTTCGTAGATCTTATTTCAGTTTGTAGGAGACCTGACAATTTGGGGATTGTAACAGCATTGGGACACGATCTTTGGCATGCTGAAAGCTCCTGCATTTTAGAGGTATCTTTAAGGCATTCGTTTGATATAGGAAATGGGAGGGAACTTGGTCTATTCAATAGGTTGTGCAGCTTAGACTGGGGGTTCAATTGTCCTGTTCAGAGTATCGGCATAATTTAGGAGGATAAATTTATGACTTAGTTCAACTTATTACAGTGTGCTCCCAGATGAAATATTGCTGCTCTTGTTGGGGCTTGTTAAACTTTGAAAACTTTGTAGTGCTTTCATTCTTAAGTCCCCTGTTTGTCATTTCAGCTGTGTAATGCAGTACTCTGATTGATTATCAAACTGGAGACTGAATTGTGCATATGATGCTCTTAATATGCTCTTACATTTTAATTAGAGCTGCAACCTCCTTTATAGACATGTCTAACTGGTTGACAACATGTTTATGCCTGTCTCTAAAACCTCCAGAGGGAGGGAATTGGGTAAGATTATACAGATAACTAAAGATCTCAACAGAAGCATTGGTTTCAGATTGCTGATTAGTAAGGGTGACAAACTTGGTTCTTTTCTGGGGCATTTTTCATGAATTCAGATGTTTTAGAATAGTTTCCAAATAGCTGAAGGAAGAGGTCTCACTAAATAGCTTGGCTATGAATTGTTCAGTCTTTTCTTGTATATAGTATAGGGTTGATTATGCGGCATTGTTTTATCTTCAGGATTGGGCTGTAATTGTGTTAAATGTGAAAATGATGTATAGTGCTTTTTTAACAACTTTCAGGTTAATAGTTGTTTGCAAAAAATAATGAAATGTGTGGAACCTACTGCATAGCTCAGTGAGTCTCAAAAGGGGTACCATACTATTAGCACTGTTAGGTGTTCAAGCATCAGTCACAAGATAAGCTCATATTTTAGATAGGAAAACAGTGTCAACAACATGCTGACCCAGAAAGACCAAAACTTTCAAATATGGCCATTTCAAATCTCTTTCTTTCATGTCCAGATCACTTCCATACTACCTGTTGGAAAGAACTTTGCCACTGGTTCTCAACCTCATTAGACTCGAGGCACCCCATTGAAAATGCTAGCTCTTACTTTTCCTTTGTTTTTTATTTGACTACATAAAAAAAATAATGAAATGTCCAGGTCACTTCCATTGAAAATAGTGGAGACGGCCAAAGTAAAGGCCTATAGTGCTAAATTTACTTACTTAATATGAGGCCCTACCAGTTCATGCACACCACCTAGAATTATTCATTAAAATATCTGCACACTTTTTTTTTTTTTTTAAATGATTCTGCCAACTTGGGAGGTAAGTGTAGTACAGTGGTTATCAACCTTTTTGAGACTGAAGGCACCCCTGAATGGACTTGAAGCCCTGGATAGACTCAAGGCACCCCTTGGAAAATGTCCACACTTAGTTTTCACTTTTTTTTTTTTTTTTTTTTTTTGACTACAGAAAAAATAGAGCAGTTTTTCTGTTGCAAAGAATTCAGAAAGACCACAGATATGGATTTCTATTTGAAATATGTGGTTTTATCTTGTGAATCATGTTTTTAAAACTTAACAGTGCTACATTGTGTGGTGCCCCACGGCATCCTTGAAAGGATCTCGGGGCACCTTGGCTGAGAATCACTAGCCTAGTAAATGGTATATAAATAGCATTAGGGTTTTGAGAACAACTTTTATTATTCTATTGCACCAAATATTTGATGCCTGCACCACTTACTTTATGCAGCAGAATTAAAAAAATATATTTTGGTTGCTTTATACCTCTTCTTTGAGATTTGAAATGGCCATATTTGAAAGTTATCTGCTTTGGCAAGTATAAACATTACAAGTCCCCAGTAGGATCATTTGTGGCTTTTCTTCATTGTTCCGCTTTTAAGCAGCCGTGTTTCTTATTTTTGATATCCTTCTAGCATTGATTTGCATACCTTACTATCAAATTGCTTCTACTTGGATTCATTGTTCATAATGGTGCCATATTATGGAGTTAATCCTATCTGCATTTGGGCTTAAAAATTCACTCGTCTTGTGTACTATTCTGTGTACTTTGATAGACTGAGTTTTCACTCACTTTGCTTAGGAAAGCTTTAAGCAACACAAGAAAGGCATTGGAACTGTACGTTGAGAAGGAGGGTCGAAGACAGAATAAGGGAAATCATTGAATATAGGAGATCATCCATGTGTGCTGCATCAAGGAAGGGAGAAATTCATAGATTCATAGATGTTAGGGTCGGAAGGGACCTCAATAGATCATCGAGTCCGACCCCCTGCATAGGCAGGAAAGAGTGCTCCCCATGGGTGCGTGGAAAGAGATTCCTTTCCTGTAACTGTGGTAGAATACTGTAGAAGGAAATAATGGAAATGAATGATTATTCTCTTGTAAAACATAAACATCATCAGGAGTTGTCAAATAATC